GATACCCTGTACAGGGTAATAAAAATCAAAATATTTTTATCGCATAATTATTAATCTTGAAATTGTTATAATTTCATAAAAAAATAAACTTTGCAAAATCTATCCAGGCTTATTTTAAAAAGAACAATCTCTAAGAAAATATTATTTTATTCTAAGAAAAAATTATATTTTATAAATGTTATTTTATGAATTTTGTCTAAGGTCTTTTGATTTTCGTTTAATGTTTCTTTTAATTCAAGTTCACAGCACATGCTGTTATTTGTTTAATAAAATAAATATTTTTTATACATATATTTAACGTTTAATTAAATATCGTGACTTTGAATTAAGAGGCTGATATTCCCCCACCCTCTATAATAGTTTAAAAATATTTGGTATATTATTTTATTATTTGTTAATGACCTTTAACGAAGGAAAGGTCAAGTACAAGACGTTCCAATTGCTTGTAAATGCAAAACAGTCGAGAAAAGTGTACCTGCAAAGGCCATCGAGGAAAAAAAAGGGAGGGAAGTCAAATTACTCGACACAGAAAGCATTATCTTTACTTGATAGGTCTCACACTCTCGAGCCAGTGACTCTCAGTCATGAATCTTCCTCCGAAACGAATTTAAAAGTAATAGATTGCTTTACGACGGCAAGGTAACAAAATTGAGAAACACTATAGACACCGACTTCGTTCTTTCCCTCTTAAATTTACAATTTCCCTGTCCCTTCTAACGCGTAAATTTATTCAAACAAATTCTATAATTACTTTTCCGACTGTTGCGTACGTCAAAATTTATCTACTGTTTCTGTCACTTTAAAATTTGTTCTGCTAAATTAGGTGCAAGTATTTTAAATTATAACAAACTGTGGAAGGATTGACATTTTAAGATAAAATGCACTGGATTTCTAAATATAGTAATACTGGCTTTATAAATATAGAGGATTAAAGTAAAAGAATTATTTTAATTAAAAATCTTTAATTATAAGATACATCGTAAAAACGACAAAGAATGATAGAAAAGAATAATTATTGTTATACTTTATGTAGTAATTGAATCACTAACTTATATTTCAAACTAAATAGATGATTGCATTATTTCTTCACATTATGTAGTAACAAGAATATTGCTTTGTAGCAGTTATTGAAATACCATATAGAAACAATTTCTAACACACAATATGTCACAATCAAAATCCCATTCGATTTGTGATTTCTTAAATAGAATTCTAATGTAATTCTTATTTAACATGCTCGTCCCCACATAAAAATCATAGCACCTATACGGAGGTATTGGTCTTTAATATATGTATACTGTGTTGGTTCTACGGATCATCACGGTATGTTGGTTTTGAAAATATATTTCAAGGTTACAATCTTGAAACTACTTTGACAGTTGCAAAATTATGAAAAATAATCTTGACTATTTATAAAAAAAGTAATATTTTTTAAATTAATTGTATTGTACTTTATGAGTTATTTATGATTTGCATTTACTTGACATTTAAGTGAAATACTCTTTAATACTGTTTGTTAGAGTATGACAGTAAAATTTCACATTTATTGTAACTCTCTTTAATGTTTGCTATTTAACGTAAACCCAGTCCTAAAATCAAATATTACTAAATATTGTATATGTGTATAGTATTTTCCGAATGCAAATATTATTAAGAATATTTTTATATACCACATCGGACAGTAATTATGGTCATCTGAATCGCTTTCGTTATTTTTGCAAATACAAGAACATGTTATTTTTTATTTCACATTCAAATAATAACAATGACAAGAAAAGTATTTGAACTATAAAAAGACACCTAATTGTGCGTTATTGCTTGCTGGTGGTGCTTTATTTTAATGGATTTTTATTTACATTATTATTGAATGTCACCAATATTTTATTACTACCCTGAAGGAACACCTCTGAGTACAAAGAATAATAGAAAATATATGATGAATTACCAGGTTCGGTTTAGGGGGAGGAGCTACATGGGGCTAAGACCCGCGTCCTACATTTCAAGGAGGTTCCCATTTCAATGTTAAGTTTCTCTAAGAAATCGTTTGAAGCGACTTGCTCAGAATTATTTAAATCTTTAAGGCACAGGATTTCAGATCAAAAATAGACCCATGTTGCACAGGAATTTTATCGGGTTTTAAATGAAACAAAATTGGTATATTATTATTAATAAAGGTATAACTTTTTATGTAAAAATATAACAAAATAGTAACAATTAATTAAATTTTTAAGAATATACAACATAAACAATAAAGAAAAATTGTTTTTTGTATTACTGTAATTGTTGCCAACACAATGAATACATTTGTAACATTATTTGAAAACATTACCAACTGCTTTACGTAAATAAGGCGAAATATAAACCTATGTACATGCAGCTACTGCAAGATTTCTTGCAGTACAGACTAAAAATGGTGGGACTAAAAATGTCCCACCATGCCGTGAAATACATAAAAAAGGCGGGACACTTTTAATCCCACCGTGCACCAGAGAGTTAATTATGTTTGTACATACGGAACATTCGACAGATAAATTAAAAAACTGTGTTAAATTGAAAAATCAATTTTCGTGTTAAAATAAATAAATATATGCAAAAGTCAATGCACAAATAAAACAGTTAACCTATTTAGCAAAGTTATCGTTTGAACCGAATATACTAAAAATTAATTTTTACGACATTATTACAAAATTGATAAAAATAGACGCAAAAAGCTATAGTTTTGCATAATTTGATAGTATTGTAGTTTTTTTAATGAATGATCTTAATAAATTGCTGCAACTTGTGACTTAAGTTTTTTGTATGACGATGTACATTTTTAGCAGAAAGTGATTCTGTGTAATTAATTCACTGACAACATTTGAATAATTGTTGTACGTAAATATAAGAAAACTGTACTTACAATGCGTAATGATACTCAAGCAGCTTATTTACGAACTGACACAAAAATACATTATCACAAAAAGTTATCGATGATGTTCTTATTAATTGAAATAAGTAAGAGATTATCAGTGATTATTAAAACCTTAACATGCGCAAACAACAATATTACTTTTGCTATCTTAAGGAGTGACGTTTTAAATTTAATTTTTGTATCTGCTGTTTAGAATTGAAGAGTGTAAATCGTAAATAATGTAAGCACCAAAAAAGAAACTACAAAGAAACCAAAAATCAACGTAGACTAAATCTGTAAAGTTTATATTTTGCAATTTTTAATGTTACTATTGATACATGCAAAATAAATGTTACATTATGTGTTATATTTCAGTTTTCATTCCTTTCATATATGTATTTTGGTAAGAGTACTAGTACATTGATACAGGTAATATAATTTTATTCATGGACATGAAGTGCACAAGTTTCATTTATAAATTTTTGAATGATTAACTGAGAAGATAACATTAAGGGTAAAATTCCTTCAGCCAATAATGCCCATGGCAGTCGATGATCTGGGAAATGGATGATTTTCAATCCAAGAATAAAAAACATCAACTTCTTTGAACGTTTATTCCTTTGAAGACAAGTGATAAGCAGGTGTAGGAAATTACCGAGAACGCTAAACCCGACAAGACGAAGATCAGGTAGACCAGTTGCTAGTAAGCCTCGATGGTCTCCTGAGGGAGAGACCACGGATTTCCCCGTACTTGATTGCAGCTCGATAAAAACTGGGGCAGGCTAGGTGCGAGTTCGAAGCAGCTTCCACATCACAGTGAGGTGTTTCTTCGCGGTACGTGACGCTCCTGCCATTAAATGTCTGCACGTCAAGATAGGCTCTCCTCACCAGACGTCGACGTCTCTCCCGGTAAGGACACCTCTGCTCCGCCATTGGGGTGGATTTCAGCATACCAGCTTACAAATACCTATCCGGACACCAGTCATTGCAGCGATTTTCTTTTCAACCGTCGTCGATTATGCTTTCTTTTTTCGCGCGTTTTGTCGCCTCGTATCGCGATGTCGATGGAATTTATCTAGTAAAGAAACGCCTCCAAATTTGGAAGAGAGTCCGAACAACTGTAACACGTGGCCATTGAAACCAAGTTTCCGTTCACCGTCGAATGTAAGCAATACATTATACTCCACTTGTACTGCGTTCTTACAATGATTCGATGTCTTCGAACAAGGAATTTGTTGTTCAACAATGTCGCGAATTTGTTTTGAATAACTCGATCAACGCCTACGACTGTCGATTTATCGCGCCGCTTCGAACGCACCGATTGCACGAAATTGTAAGATTAATTTATAAAAAAATGTAATTTAGCGTTATCAAAACTTAATGTTCTTTCTTACTCTTCACAATTAACAGTTTTCCAATTCTAATAATAAAACTTGATGTATCCTCTTTCAAATTATTTAAAATTACCGCGAAATGCTTGTACACGCACATTGTTTGCATCAGAGCTAAAAAAATGTATATACGCTTGCGAAATTGCTTTTATAATATATATTTATGCCATCAGTGAAGAGCAAAAGAATTTATTTTAAATCAAATGCAATACAAAGTTAGTGTTAATAAAATACAGAATAACGCTATATATAAGAAAATACTGGAACGTACAAGCAATTTTTAATCTCCAGTTTCGTTTTTTTCTCAAATATACAGTCAATACTAAATACGAGCAGTTTTTAAGTCAGAACAAATTCGTATAGTTCGATAATTATAAATCGAGGATCGCAACGAACGGAGAAGAATACAGCCCTATCCTAAAGCGTCGACGGCGCGCGCCAGATTAACAGTCTCGTGACGTTACCGTTGAGGCGCCACTGTCTTTGGTATCCGAGGTGGGCGGTTACTAGCGGGAGAAACGGCGAAGCTGATTGGTTAGAGGGGTGACGGTGGATTGGAGGAAAATCGAGAATGGGCAAGGCACACGCGGCAGGCTGGTCGTTGCGCCGTGTCAGTAACGGCCACACCCACCGAGATGCTCGAGGTTCGTCCCCGTTGGGACCCGCTGGCACGCCGCTCGTGCCGGCCCTGACACATTCGACAAGCGGCGCCGTAACGGGAAGCAACGCGCGGCTGGGGACCTCGAAGGACCTCTCCTCTGGTTACGAGACACCCTACCGACACTTTCGTGCCGGCGATATACGCACCGCACCGACGTTGCCCGTTGCTCAGATTACCGCTGCTCTACGCGTATCCACCACGATTACATCATCCCAAGTGGATCGTTCGAACGTCTCGAAGGAGTCGCGGGTACACGCTGGGGACCACGATCGAGAAGCCGGTGAAGCGATCGAACGTCTCGAGATTCCGGAAAAACTGAGATCACCCATTTTTGTCCGGCGTTTCTTGATCGCGCGTTAACGGAAATAGCAAGTGATACCAAGAGTGACGAAAGTTTAGTGAGGACCGTGAGGGACGAGAGACCGTGGACCGGTTTGTAAACAAAACCGAGTGAATAAACAGTGGTTCAGTGGAACAAACGGCGGAGACGAGAGCAATCGTGGCGTCGATCAATCGTGAGCTCGTGATCATCTAGGGGGTCGTACGCGGGACGCGTGTGCGCCGACACGCGGTCGGCCACCAATTTCATGGTGTGACAGGGTGACAGGTTGTGCAGATATTGATGCGCAGCCACGAGGCGTCAGCACCACCAAACGACACGATTGATGCCTGTTCCTGAAGAAGCGTGACGCTGACGCAGGTGCGTCCTGACCGAGAGGCGAGCAGTCTCTCTCTCGATCAGCCGCGAAGGGCTCTCGAACGAGCCGATTAAGGTTCTTTGCGAAGGGTGACAACGAGAAGGTGAAAGCCTGTTGCCCCAGGAGAGTCCGTACGGCCTCACGACGCGGTCCGACGAGTGGAGTGGTCTCCTGCCCAGCTCCACGATCGTGGGTGCTGGGGGGTCGCCATGGCTCGGACTTGGCGCTGGGGGTGGCACGGGGGCCACCACCGGGGGCGGAAGCCCCGTAGAACTCGAGGGCCACTGGGGACGTAAACTGTACGGGGCGAGTGTAGCTCCACCACCACCACCCCCTCATCACCACCCGCGGGCGCCTCTCGTTTTCGCGCCTCAGGACATGAGGCAGATACTCAAGGAGGAACCTGTGCCACGTGCTTGGCCACAGCCCGCGCTCGCTGACAACGGAACGTAAGTACACCTGCGGATATACTCTTTTTCTTTTCTTGCCGGAATTTTCTCCATTTTGCAACCTGAGGTGGAGAGAAAAGTATTCTCAATCAATTTTCATTTTTCCTTGAAATAAATTCCTCGTCTCACAAAATTAAAATTCTAATTGTGATTCAGTCCACTATATTTCAATATTACTTTCAAATATCTACTTTAGTTTTCTTATTTAAGCGATGTGATCAGTTTCCATTTATTTTTGAGCAAAGTTTCTGATTGTACGAAATCGAAATGTTAGTTCTAATCTAATTCTGGAAGTTATAATATATATTTTTAATATGTAGCTCTGTTAGAAGGTCCTAAATCGAATTACATTTTATGGTGAATGGATTATGACACTGAGTTTAAACGACGTGAACAGTTTCCCTTTTTTCTGAAGTTTTGAATTAGAATTTGAAGAAAATTTCAATAAAATTCAATACAATTGAAATTCCAGAAGTAAAACCTGTTTTTTTAAAATACAAGTTTCATTATGCAAAGGTATTAAATTGTATTTTATAGAGTACGCCTTTTGACATATTTATTTAAACAACACAGAGTAATTTTACTTTTTTCTTATGTAAAATTACTGGATGTACGAAGTTTTCATTCTTATTCTAGTCAAATCATAATTTTTAAAACATATATATGTAGTTTCATTATAAAAGGTACTTAAGTTAATACTTTATGGAGAAGGTATTTAAATTTATATTTTATGGAAAAGTTATTTTAATTTATATTTTGTGCTAAAATAATTTTGACATTTGTGTTTCAATTATTTAAGTTAATTTTGCATTTTTTTAACGGAAATTCTTGATTGTACAGCAATGAAATTCTAACGCTCATATTGCAATTCTAAAATGCGCATATTTTTATTACAGAATGCTTATTTACGCTTTCTTACTTCAACGGTGATATCGTATCAATCTAACTTCTTAAAATACACGTAATTTTATTATAAGAGATATTTAAATTTTTCGGGGAAGATGTTTCGACGTTTTTATGTCAGTGATTTAAAATGTAACGCTTTCGTTTTGACATTAACATGAAGGAATTATTACTTCTATTTTGAAAATTTTATTTAAATGTACGAACTGATTAGATTTACATGAAATTAACTTAAAGTGACGAATAAAGGGTATATAGATAGGTATATTGAAGTTGGAAGGTAAAATTTTAATCGCATTTCGCATTTAAAAATCAAATTGATAACAAAATGTATTTTATTTTCCCTAATAACATAAATGGAATAATAATAAAACTGCGTCTGTGTCAATAGTAAAATTGCGACTGTTGTCAGTATAGTTATTTGAACAATGATCGTAAATAAAAATAGTTGCTCCAAAAAGATACACGAGAAAACATTTTCGGTATCAATTTTATTTTGAAATTAGTGAAAACATCAGAAAAAAGTAGAAAAATAAGCTTCCCTTTGTTGTGTCGTAAGCCGTCGGATAGCGAAATCCATTCCTTTCCCCCGTCTTTTTCACACTTTTATTTAAAACCGACACAAAAATAAAAAAAGCATAGGTAACAAATATTTGAAAAACCAACAATCGTCTGATGCGCATTTTCTAGTGGTTTGCAAATATTCGAAATTGTAGCTAACTGAACCTCGGTTTTTGTCGGAAAGTGATCAGCTCTACTCGATTTTCAAATCCCAAAAGTTTGTAAACACTACAGGTGTGCTAAATCTCCATTCGAAACATTTTATGAGTCAAATTTTGTAAAAATCCGAAATGCGAAACAAATATTGAACAATCAACAGTGTAAAATACGTCATATTTTATTTTAAACTTAGATACAGAATTTTCTTGAATTTCAGTTTATTTTTTAAAGAGACTTATTACTTCATTTTAGTACTTGTACTACATGTTTATTGTTATCTTGTATTTTATTTTAATATGTGTCATATAACTAGTCAACATTGTGTGTGGTTATTGACGACAGAATATAACAATTAACGGAAGAAATGGATGCTTCTTTAATAGTTCATTCAATCCTTGCTAGTATTAAACAATTGTATGCATAGGTTTGTGCAATAATATAATAATTGTGGCAATTGAATGTTTGTCTTGTTGGAACCAGTTTTGTATATTGCGTTTTTATTCTTTATGACTATTGAACGTAATTTTCCATAACAGTTATTTCCGAACTGATCAATCCAAAATATAATTTATAAGAATCAAACATTTTACCACGGAATATTATTGCCTCAAATTGCACTTTTTAAGAGGACTTGTCATCGTTAGAGGAACGATAAAAGTTATATATACCTAAATAATTGTTCAGAAATTTATTAAAAGTAACAAGAATACCATTGTATGATCTAAAAGTATCGTACTTTATGTGCAGTCACTTGAATCAATGCTTTCACTTGCCATTTTTGGATGATCACTATACATTTTATATGACAGAATCATATTTAATATTTTCACATTGAAAAACGTACTTATGTAAGTAAATACATGCACGCCTTGAAAACGTAAATACTTACGCGTGTAGAATATTACGTGGGCGGTAAAATTACAATTCTAGATATATGAATTACGTTATTTTTTAATATTAATTCTAATTTCTATGATAAATTTCTTCGTAAAGTTTGAGAGGCAATCATACGTCGCAACTATTCCGTACGTTAGCGTTGAGCTGACAGGGATTCGTTTCACCCATAACAATCATACTTTGTTCTAATCACACTGTGTCGAAAATCTGCTCGTACAATTAAAACTGTATTTATCAAGACGTTGTATATTATTTGTAAAAACTATTCTACGATTTTCAAAAATGAATTCCAAAATTACATGTATCCTACCATTCATATTTAGGTATTTAAAAATTCTCGAGATCTTGAATCGACCTAAGATATTCAGATATTTTCGAAAACTCAAACACTTAATTTTTCGGTTCTCTCTGAATCTGGTACACGTGCCGAAAACACCTTCATCGCTAAAACATTGTGTCGCACAAGAAGAAGGTGAGAATCGTCTTCGATTTTTCTTCCCCTTCATTAAACCCGAGAACACGTTCGAACTTTGACGCGTCAACGGGTAGCAAGGATGCCTTTGTATTTCGTGGCACGAGGAACAAATAGCCGGTTTATCTTCGAAAGCCGATCGTTTCAAAGCGGTTCACACGTAGCTGCATTTGGCGAACGATAAACCGTGCTTTATTGCAAGATCGCTTAAGGGATTTGTACGACGTGCAAACGACGAAGGTACAGATACGCGGACTCGAGGAGGTAAATCGACCGGGTTGGGGGCTCGCTAATCCAATAGCGGTTCTCTTAACTAACCCCTTCCAAGTGGCGTGACACGGGAACGGACGACCGGAATCGAGTTAATGTAATTGAGAGTTTTAGCGCCTTTTACACTCCTCTCTTTCCATTTTTATTCGATTGTTTTCTCATCGCGCGGCTCCAGCTTTTCTACATTCGAAAGGAAAACTAAAAAATCGGATAGTGTAATCAGACAAAATTCCCAGAATAGAAGAATGTTAAAAGTTGTCATTTTTGACTCCGTGTGTAACCGAAAAATTCATGTAGAAGATTTAGAAGTACCTCCAAAGGAAAGAATGTACCCATCGTTTGACGTGTAATAGAAAATTGAAAGAAATTGTTGCAAATATTAAAAAATGGCACTAATCGCACTTGTGTACGTATGCATTAGATCTCAGCTTCATGATTTTTATATATTGATTCATCTTTAATGTTATTTTCTAAATAATCTGTAGGTAAATTGCGGATAACCTACAATTAACATGTTTCAAATTTCATACGACCGTTACTCCTTGTAAACGGCAACTAACATATTTATTAACATTAAGTTTATGTGTTATAATACCTTCAAATCTCATTTTATTTTTGCCACTTAATGTGTAAACAAAATATTTTAATTTATCTGTCTGCCAAAAGTGCAACTTAATCTTACAAAATGAGTATACCTACATCATTAAGATATTTTCGATAATTGATAGACTCTAGCATTATTTATATTCCAAAATTTAAATATAAAATCTTTTTTATTCTTGGTACTTGAACTTGAGAAGGTCGTATAAATTAAATGAAGAATAATCGCTTAGAGGGAAATGAAATAAGCATCTGGATATTATGCGGACCATACAAATAGAGGCATTGAACGTCAAGTACGACAAGTCAAATCTCTATTTCTTCCAACCTAATGAACACTAATGCGATCTTTAACCGAGCTGTATGATCTTTCCTATCTGGTGCAACTATTAGCGGTAAGGTTATTGTTTATGTGCTACTGTGATATTTTTGTTACATCAAAGAAAACTCTACTCACACCAAATTTTGTATAGGTATTAATTTTGGAACTAAAACGTTTCCTATATGGAGACGTTTGAGAAATTTGGAAGACTATAATAAAAGATAATAAAAGACTAAAATATAACGACAATATAGGACTTAAATAAAACTAGAAAATCACTTAAAGTTCAAAGAAAGATTCTGATGAACTGATTGATAAATACTGTTTGTGTTTAATTTAGTTGTTGAGATTAAACACAGTTAATATCATTTTTTTAATTAATTACACTAATTTTGTAAATCTAAAATAAATTTTAATGCGTTTTGTGCAGCAGATTTTGTTGATGTTCAAGTGATTTACATGTAGAGTAATTAGGAAACATCAGAAATCATTATTAGATACTAACATCTTATATATTTAGAAGAATCATTAGGACATTATTGGAATAAAATATTGGTAAAGTGGCACCTCTTAACGATAAGACAAACTTTAGCTTTTTTTACTCCGATGAACATCACTGTATCAAATACTGTGCACAATATATTCGTTTTAAATTGACAAATACTTTTATTTTAGATTCATCAATATCTATAAATGTAAATCTTTAGGTATGTTAATGCAAATATTTGTCAGTAAAGAACCTCATAAATAGAAACTTGTAGTTCGTGAAAATCCGGCAACTTTGATAACGAATCAATATTGTTGGTACATGTTACT